CATCATGGAGTGTGTCTTTGGGAACACCATGCATTTAAAACACACGGTGACCCTGAAGGAATCCTGTAAACACCTTCACAGAGCTATAGTTTCCAGCACCCTTAACAAACTACAGCTCCTGGGATTTTTTGGAGGGAAATGATGTGCTTTAAATGTATGGGTTGCTGCTGTTGTTGTTTAGACGTTCAGTCGTTTCCAGCTCTTCGTAACCCCATGGATCAGAGCATGCCAGGCACTCCTGTCTTCCACCGCCTCCCGCAGTTTGGTCAAACTCATGCTGGTAGCTTCGAGAACACTGTCCAACCATTTCGTCCTCTGTCGTCCCCTTCTTCTTGTGCCCTCAATCTTTCCCAACATCAGGGTCTTTTCCAGGGAGTCTTCTCTTCTCATGAGGTGGCCAAAGTATTAGAGCCTCAGCTTCACGATCTGTCCTTCCAGTGAGCACTCAGGGCTGATTTCCTTCAGAATGGATAGGTTTGATCTTCATGCAGTCCATGGGACTCTCAAGAGTCTCCTCCAGCACTGTAATTCAAAAGCATCAATTCTTCAGTGATCAGCCTTCTTTATGGTCCAAGTCTCACTTCCATAAATCACTACTGGGAAAACCATAGCTTTAACTATATGGACCTTTGTCAGCAAGGTGATGTCTATGTATGGTGTACACGCAGTCAATTTCATTGAATTTTTTCTCCCCTTTGATAATTTTCAATTTATTTTCTCCTTAACCGATGCAAAACAGTTGATATAAACGCAGAAGTGATGTTCAGCATTATAAACTGCTGTGGCACTGGAGGGGATGAAAAAAAAGTGAATATTCACATGACTGAAGTGTTTATCAGGAAGCTTTTCTACCATGCTAAAATATCACTATTGTTGACCACAGAATCAAAACTGGAGGTTATTTGATCGAGCTTTCATGTAAATGGCAATAAAAGGAGCAGTGCTGGAGAAAGACCTTTAGGGAGTGCGTCTTCATGCCAATTTCCTCAATTCCCTGATCCAGACTTCTGTGTGGGTGTTGTGGAGAGGATACATCTGATCCTCCCCCAAAAGCTCAGGGCAAACGTGTTGTGAGAACCTCAGCCTGTTTAGCTTCTGGAAACGAATGTTGCCAGGTGCCATGTTTATCTTTCAGAAGTATCACTATGGGAGAGAGCATTAGGCAATAAAAGACTTTTAATCAAGCAGACGGAGGACAGAGCAAGACGCAGGAACAGGCTGTTAAATCTGGACTAATTCAGATGAGAAGCAAAACACAAATATTTTCTGAACAGCTGATTATGCACCAGAGTAGCTTGCCAAGTAGGCATTGTCCTATTCTTCTTATGCCTGTTCATTAAATCAAGATTTTGTTATAGCCAGGAATTCAGGAGACTTAGTCCTTCAAATTCTGTGTCAGCTGTAATTGTATTTTCTGCCAAGAAAGGATGTATTTAACAACTGCTATACATTTATGCCAGGGACAGGAGACCTGTGGCCCTCTAGATGTTTTTGACTCCAAGTCCCATCAGCCCCAGTCAGAATGGCCAAGCGTCAAGGATGAAGGGGGTGGAGATATTCAACATCTGGAGGGCCACAGGTTTCTCAGCCCTGCTTCATGCAAATGGTCACTAATCCATGTGCTTAAAAAAGGTAAAGGTAAAGGACCCCTGAAAGTTAAGTCCAGTCACAGACGACTCTGGGATTGCGGCGCTCATCTCACTTCACAGGCCAAGGGAGCTGGCGTTTGTCCACAGACAGTTTTTCTGGGTCATGTGGCCAGCATGACTAAGCTGCTTCTGGTGAATCAGAGCAGCACACGGAAACGCCGTTTACCTTCCCGCCGGAGCAGTACCTATTTATCTACTTGCACTTTGATGGGCTTTTGAACTGCTAAGTTGGCAGGAGCAGGGACCGAGCAACGGGAGCTCACCCTGTTGCGGGGATTCAAACCGCCGACCTTCGGATCGGCAAGCCCTAGGCTCTGTGGTTTAGACCTAAGCACCACCCGCGTCCCACAAGCAGCTTGCTACTGTCCCCAAAATAGAAGAAAGTCAGAACCTAAGATAAGCCAGATGAATCAAGGCACTTGACCAGATGTGTTTATGTGAAGCCCACAAACAGAATCTTAGTGCAACGACACTTTCCCCACCTGTGATTCCCAGCACCTGGTATTCAGAGGAATACTGCCTCTGACAGCTGAGGGAGGACATAGTAGAATAATAACATATGTAATAAAAAGCGTAATATCACTACAGCAGAGAACACAAAAATAATCAGCAGTCAACAGTTCATTTAACATACATAAAAATTTAAGTGAGCATAAAGTTCACCTATAGGTCAAGTGAAAATATCCAACAACTTTACATCCCAAAATAGCCCCAAACCTATATTAGTCCCTCATAACTCAACTCCTCCTCCTTTAATGGCTCAACCCAAAACCCCCTCAGAGTTCTTTTGGGAGCCTCTCCCTTCCAAAAATGGGGCAAGGCAGGTGAAACTCTGGTGACAAACACAGTTTCCCTCATTTCACTCTCTAGCAGCAGCTTTTGTGTGTCATGAACAGGCAGCAGATCATTAGTTGTTATTGTTGCATTTTCACTGCCAGGGAGGAGGGGGGAAAGTGATTTTGGGATTTTCTGCCTTGGGTGACACAATAGCTTGGTGGGCCTTGAGTACAGTGGTACCTTGGGTTACATACGCTTCATGTTACAGACACATCAGGTTACAGACTCCACTAACCCAGAAATAGTACCTCGGGTTAAGAACTTTGCTTCAGGATGAGAACAGAAATCATGCAGCGGCGGCGCAGTGGCAGCAGGAGGCCCCATTAGCTAAAGTGGTGCTTCAGGTTAAGAACAGTTTCAGATTAAGAACGGACCTCCGGAATGAATTAAGTACTTAACCCGAGGTACCACTGTACTACATACCCTGAGCTGGGGAAAGGGCACCGTTTGCTCAGGCAGCAAAGTAAAAATTGTTAGCTCTGATTGGCTCAGCCTGGTGCCCTCCAGATGTTGATGGACTACAACTCCCATAACCCCTCACCATGGACTGTGCCCGTTGGGCATAGAGTTGTTAGGGGCATTGTAGTCCAAAGCATCTGGAAGGCACCAGGTTGGTGAAGATTGACTATTGGCCCATCGAGATCTCAGAGACAGAGGTTTTCTCTAGTTGTGATATGTTTACTGAAGATGCTAGAAGTTGAGCTTGATATCTTTTTCTTAAAGAGCATGTGGGCATCCACTGAGCTACAGTGTCTTGCAAGCCAAAGACTTGCAGCCTTTAGTAGTAGTAGTAGTAATAATAATAATAATAATAATAATAATAATAATAAATTATTTCGATACCACCCATCTGACAGGGTTGCCCCAGGCATTCTGGGTGGTTCCCAACAGAATATTAAAAACAGAACAAATCATCAATCATTTATGACTAGGATTTAAAACAACGACGAACCAACCCAAAACAGATTTTCAGAAAGATGCAAAGTCCTGCACACTGTGCATATTTTGTACTTGAGAAGTGAAATTGCACAAATGATAGTAGAATGCACACCCCACAGATTCCATGGCATTTGTTGCCCTGCCTTCTACTCCCAGTGGTGGTGTCCACCCTGTGGAACGCCCTCCCAGCAGATGTCAAGGAAACGTTTCCAAGCGCAATTCAAAGTGTTGGTGTTGACCTTTAAAGCCCTAAACAGCCTCAGCCCAGTATACCTGAAGGAGTGTCTCCGTCCCCATCGTTCAGACCGGACACTGAGGTCCAGCTCTGAGGGCCTTCTGGCAGTTCGCTCTCTGCGAGAAGTGAGGTTACAGGGAACCAGGCAGAGGGCCTTCTCGGTAGTAGCGCCCGCCCTGTGGAACACCCTCCCTTCAGATGTCAAGGAAATAAACAACTATCTGACTTTTAGAAGACATCTGAAGGCAGCCCTGTTTAGGGAGGTTTTTAATGTTTGATGTATTACTGTATTTAAATATTTGGTTGGAAGCTGCCCAGAGTGGCCGGGGAAGCCCAGCCAGATGGGCGGGGTATAAATAATAAATTATTATTATTATTATTAGTTTGATGTTTTATTCTGTTTGTAATCTGTTGGGAGCCACCCAGAGTGGCTGGGGAAACCCAGACAGATGGGTGGGGTATAAATAATATATTATTATTATTATTATTATTATTATTATTATTAGGCAAAGAGGGGCAGCTGCCTCAGGCAGCAGATGTGGTGAAGGTGAGGGCAGGATGTGGTGACAAGGTATTAGAGATAGAGCTGTGTGGGCCCTGTGGCCTGCCCTGTGCTCCCTAATAAGAACATAATGTGCAAGCTGGTATAACCGCACACAAGGAGAAGAAGAAGAACCCATCTGGTCAACATCCTGTTCTCACATGTTCTCAGATGCCTGCAGAAAACCTGCAACTAGGACCCAAGCACAAGAGCACCCTGCATGTTTTAGCTATGTGATGCATGAAAAAGTTACTTTCTTCTCCCTCTATACAAGATAGGATCCAAAAGCTGACAGAATATGCCGAATTAGACGGTCTATCTGAAAAAATAAAGAATAAATCAAACCAGGAATTTGTTTCAAAATGGGAGGTATTCAAAGAATATTTGAAATATAAATATGGTAGTTTAAACTCTGTTGCAGCATTCGAGGAACTTCAGTAATAGTAATAGTAATAGTAATAGTAATAGTAATAGGCAGATATAAGAATTAAGATATACTAAGAAAAGGTTTAATTACGATAAAAGTGTGTATTGGCAATAAGTAATATGAAATCGAAATATGGAATAAACGGGAGGTTGGGTCTTTAGTGTTAAGACCAATTTATGTTTTATTGTTTGTTAATGGAAATTCTGTGTGTAATTTGCTATTTGTGTTTTCTCTTTTTTTCTTACGGTATCAATAAAAAAGAAAAAAAAGGGGGGGGAGAGAAAAAGTTACTTTCTTCTATCTGTTCTGAATCTTCCAACTCATCTTCCATGAGGTTTCTCTATCCAAGTACTCCATGCCATCCATAATTTTGGCTGCCGTCTTCAGTTGTGGCAGAGGATGCTGTCCCGTCGCCAGTGCTGAAGTAAAATTCAGCTGCTGGTCTCATCGGCTTCTGTGATGCTATGGGATGGGATAGGGTGGGAGTGGGGAGGCTGAACTTCAGGCAGCAAAATGCCCCAGGCCAGCTCTGTTCAGCAGCCACTGATCAACAACGAAAACTTCTCCCTGTCAAAACTATTGTGTTGAACCAGCTTTGCACTCTCCCTGAGCCTGTAATTAAATGTAAAGCAAGTGGTGACAAAAATTGCCTGTCTCGCTTTAAGAAACTACCAGTAGATCTGCATTTGTATCCTGCTTTAATCACACTCTGGAGTCCAGGGAATAACAGTAATAATAAGTAACATTTATTTATTGTAATTAAGCTAGGTTCTATACAATTACAGTTACTATACACATAAATATTGAATGCATTCGCCCTAAGAATATAAATTAATCATTTTATGTGTGTACTCTAAACTCTATAGCCCAGGATAAATGTATTTTGAGGCATAAAGCTGGAGGATTTCATGACGCCGGTAGGAAGCAGGCAATGAAATAGCAGATGCAATTCATTGTTGATAAGGGCAAAGCAATACGAGTTGTGTGGGTGTGTAATATATGTGTGGGCCTCTGCGTGCATGGGTGTCTGCGGAATAATCCACAACTATATTTACATACATTTTGGGACCTATATTAACTGTTGCTGGTCAAGAGGTGTGGAGCTGGTATAAACTGGTCCCTGGAAACATTGGCATAAAGGGAACATTTAGTACGATTAAGAAAGGGGTAGGAAAAAGAAAGAAAGAAAAGCTCATGCTACCAATATGTGAATCAATAGCATGTCCACACCTTGAGTGCTGATCCGCTACAACCTGGTTCATAAAGCAAAGTCTTGCTGATTAAGTGAGCTGGGAATTAAACTTTGAAGATAACATTTCTCCCCACCCCCTATCCCAGATCAAAGGCAGATAATTTAAAGCACATTGAATGCACATTTAAAGCACATGGCTTCCTCCAAAGAATCTAGTAACTGTGGTTTGTTAAGGGTTCCTTTGTTCTCCACTTTCACCTGCTTATCCATGAGTTTCACAGGTCCACAGGTCTTTACTAGCTGGACTTTGTGGAGACAGTCCCACAGAGAGCCCCTCAGCTCATCCTCCTCCCTGCTGAGTTCTACAAGGGGCACCCATGAGACTAAGGAGCAGGAAAGAAGTAATAGTACTGCTCTATTCTGCCTTGGTGAGACCACACCAGGAGTACCGTATCCAGTTCTGGGCACCACAACTGAAGAAGGCCATTGACAAACTGGAATGTGTGCAGAGGAGGGCGGCTAATATGATCAAGGATCTAGAAACCAAGTTTTATGAGGAATGGTTGAGGGAGTTGCATATGCTTAGCCTGGATAAAAGGAGACTGAGAGCAGATATGATAGCCATCTTCAAATATCTAAAGAGCTGTCACATGGAAGAGGAAGCAGCTCAGGAAGGTAGGACCCAAACCAGTGGCTTCAAGTTACAAGAAAGGCTAAACACCAGGAAGAATTTTCTGACAGCAAAAGCTGTTTGATAGTGGAACGGACTCTCTTGAGAGGTTGTGGACTCTTCTTCCTCGGAGGTTTTAAAGCAAAGGTTAGATGGCCATCTGTCATGGATGCTTTAGCTGAGATTCCTGCATTGCAGGGGGTTGGACTAGAAGACTCTTGGGTCCCTTCCAACTCTACAATACTTCTTCAGCGATTACTAGTAGCAGAGTAAGACTGTCTTCCATAAACACAGTTTTAATAGTGGGTCCGTAAGTGACTGTGGAGGCCAATTCTAGATCCACACGTCCTTCCACAGTGGGGACATCGGTTTCCGGGCAGGAGTTGATCACGGTGTGGATTTGCCAAGCGTGCCTTCCTCCTAGCACGTTTCTCCCTTGCTTCCTGACTTCGAGTGTCTTCAAAGTCCATGACACCCTTGGTAAAGGCTGTTCTCCAACTGGAGCGTTCGCAGGCCAGCGTTTCCCAGTTGTCAGTGTTTATACTACATTTTTAAAGATTTGCCATGAGACAGTCATTAAACCTCTTTTGTTGACCACCAGCATTACGCTTTCCATTTTTAAGTTTGGAATAGAGTAGTTGCTTTGGAAGACGATCATCAGGCATCCACACAACATGACTAGTCCAACGAAGTTGATGTTGAAGAATCATTGCTTCAACACTGGTGATCTTTGCTTTTTCCAGTACACTGATATTAGTTCTCCTGTCTTCCCAAGTGATGTGTAAAAAATTTTTGGAGACACCATTGATGAAATCTTTCGAGGAGTTGGAGATGGTTGTAAGGAGGCAGATAGGTAGGGACTGGCTGAGGGCAGGCTGATCTAGGTTCGGCAGCGCCCCACCTGCCCCAATGGACCAGTCTTCACTGTCTATGGCCCTCCCAGTGTTGTTGGACTACAACTTCCATCAGCCCTCAATACTGGCCAACATCATCTGGAGGGCCACCTCTGATCCAGAGAATATACCATTTCAACATTCCCAGAGAATTATAAGAACTGATAACCCCAAACATGATTCCCACTTTCTTTATGCTTCCTGTCTGCTTCCTGCTGGGAACAGTCCCACCTCCAGCCAGTGGTGGCTGGTCCCCATTTGGACAGGTGGGGCGGAAGGCAGGGAACCCAAATAATACATGGAGTCAATGTTAGCTCATTCTAGTTTCATCTCTATGCTCCTCCTTGCTGAGTTTTACAAGGGGAAGCGCCAAGACTGCTCCAGGTTGACTTTCAAAAACAAAATTAACTGGAAACTTTTTCAATTTCTTCATTTCTCAACTTTGTGCAACAGCTCATGTTGTTGTTTTGTGGGCATTTACACAGAACTGCTTTACATAATTTTGACTATGTCCTAACCGTACGACCCTCAACATCCCAGACTGCCATAGTGACCGGACAGGATGTGTGTCTGTGCTTTCACAATGGCCTGAATATTCTTCCCATAGTGGATGGGAGGTCGCTGTCCACATCTTCTCCTGAGAATGCTTGGTTTCCATGGACGATGCAACACATTTGTGTAGAGTGCTCTACGTATTGACCCAAATTCCATAGTCTACATGTTGCAAATTTGGAGCGTACATGTAGCATGTTTTGGGCCTATGCTCAATGGTGTCAAGAGGCACTGGGCCCTTTGAAAGCATGATGTCCAACATATAAATGTTGGGCATGTGGGATCGATGTGCAGAGGTCATGGTGTGTCTGTAGGGCCACCTGGCACAATCTCAGTACCTTTCCCCATGTGTAACTTAATTGTGTGTGTATAGGGTAAGAACACTTTACACTTAAAAACTTAAGGCATGCCCACCATATCAGGCACTTTCCCCCTTTTTCATTACCTCAGCTGAATACTCCAGTCAGCATTCATATTAAAATCCTACCTCAGAGCTGGTGTGGGATGCAGTTGCGCTGTGCTCTAAACCACTGAGCCTCTTGGGCTTGCCGATCAGAAGGTCTGTGGTTCAAATCCTGCAGACGGAGTGAGCTCCCATTGCTTTGTCCCAGCTCCTGCCAACCTAGCAGTTCGAAAGCACGCCAGTGCAAGTAGATAAATAGGTACTGCTGTGGCGGAAAGGTAAACGGCGTTTCTGTGTGCTCTGGCTTCCGTCACAGTGATCTGTTGTGCCAGAAGCGGTTTAGTCGTGCTGGCTACATGACCCAGAAAGCTGTCTGTGGACAAACGCTGGCTCCCTCGGCCTGAAAGCAAGATGAGCGCCACAACCCCATAGTTGCCTTTGACTGGACTTAACTGTCCAGGGATCCTTTACCTTTACCTTTACCTTAGTGGTTAGAGTCCTGGACTCAGCCATGAAGCTCAGAATGACCATGTGCCAGTCACTGTCCCTCAGCCTAACCTACCTCACAGGGTTGCTGTGAGGATAAAATGGAGAAGGGGCGAATCACCTCAAGCTCCTTGGAAGAAAGGTGGCAGAGTAATGTAACAGTGCATAAAGGTAAAGGTAAAGGGACCCCTGACCATTAGGTCCAGTCGTGGCCACTCTGGGGTTGCGGTGCTCATCTGGCTTTATTGGCCGAGGAAGCCGGCGTACAGCTTCCAGGTCATGTGGCCAGCATGACTAAGCCGCTTCTGGCGAACCAGAGCAGCACATGGAAACGCCGTTTACCTTCCCGCCAGAGTGGTACCTATTTATCTACTTGCACTTTGACGTGCTTTCGAACTGCTAGGTTGGCAGGAGCTGGGACTGAGCAACAGGAGCTCACCCCGTTGCAGGGATTCGAACCGCCGACCTTCTGATCGGCAAGTTCTAGGCTCTGTGGTTTAACCCACAGCGCCACCCGCATCCCTTGTAACAGTGCATACACAAGAAGAAAGGGGTTAAAGTGCACTGAGTGGCTGATTACTATTCTGAGTGGATTTATTTTGCTGGCTTCTGAAAACCAAACATCCTACTACTAAACTCATTTCCCCAGCCATTGATTTCAATGTGATTGCCTTCCAAGCCCATATGCTTCAGCAAAAGAATGGCTTGGGATGAGACAGTCACATGAAAGGAACCAGGAAGCATGGTTTCATTGTGTGCTTCCCATTTTTCCAAATGATACAGTCTGGTGTGAAACATTTGCAGCTTCCTTGCTGGGCCAGACACAAACTCCCAGTTGATGGGACAGCTTGTATGTACATCTTCCTGCTGGGGGATATGCAAAGCATCTCTTTTTGCAAGAGAAATCTAGAGCAATGTGGATCATCAGGAGACATCAGCCCAAAAGCCATCTTCGGCAAAGCTGGGGATTTGGGATCCCCAAATAATTATGCTTACAATTACTGGACACTTGGCTTTAAAGTTTCTCCACTGCGGCATAGAGAGCCTTTTCCTAGCTGGCAGCTTGGCTCCCGGGATCCAAACCCACCCCCCTCATCTCTCCCCCTCAACATGTTTCATAAACTGCACGTTAAGGCTTATTTGATATTAAATTGGAAACAGAGACCCAAGCCATTCTCCCTCTGTTGCCATGGCAACCAACGGGCCTTGCGCACACACCAGGACTGGAGTCCAGGGCGAAGGAGGCGGCTGCGTGGATGGAATCTGCAATTTCCTGAGGGGTAGCAGTGGGTGTGGAGCCTGTTTCATTTCCTTTGTTGTTGTGTGCTTGTGTGGGTGGGGAGCGAAAAGTTATGGGCTAGGAACTCCACTGTTGCAATGCCTTTTTATTTTCCCTTTAAAGCAAAGGCTAGATTACAATCAATGGATGTAGGCCCACCAGCTTCCATAACCTGAAGTTCTGGATGGAAGGACATGACAGAAGTGACCCTATGCTAAGACTTACTTTGCAACCAAGCTAAATTTTTGTCAACTTGGTTTTTACACCCTGATGAGATTCAACTTAAACCACTTTCATATTTCCACGCTGAGCCTGCTATGCATTAGCAGTTTTGCATTGTGGGATTGTGTGGGTAATATTTGCATATTGGTTTGTTATTTGGGCTACACTTTTGACGCCCTATGGATGTCCTTTTGTGTGCTTTCATGATGATTTGTGCTCATGTTGATACTGGGGTGCTTATATGTGATTCTTCTTTTAATACCATTTCAGCTTGCAACCATTTGGGGGGGGGGCTACTGTATTGTTTCCAGTTAGTGCATGTCCTGTAGCTTCCTTCTGAAATCTTAAAACAAATGTTCTGGTTCATTTTTTGGGATGCCTCTTCGGGGTGGCAGGATCATTCAGGAAGCCCAACAGAACAACTTACAAAATGGAACGATGTGCAGATGGTCCAGTATAATTCCACCATTAAAGGGTAAAGGGACCCCTGGCCATTAGGTCCAGTCATGACCAACTCTGGGGTTGCGGTGCTCATCTTGCTTTATTGGCCGAGGGAGCCGCCGTACAGCTTCCGGGTCATGTGGCCAGCATGACTAAGCTGCTTCTGGTGACCCAGAGCAGCACACGGAAACGCCGTTTACCTTCCTGCTGGAGCGGTACCTATTTATCTACTCGCTCTTTGACGTGCTTTTGAACTGCTAGGTTGGCAGGAGCAGGGACCGAGCAACGGGAGCTCACCCCGTCGCGGGGATTCGAACCTTCTGATTGTCAAGTCCCGCATCCCCAATTCCACCATTAAGGCACTATTATTGCATCAGTGATAACACACACACACACACACACACACACACACACACCCCATCCTGAAAGGGCTTTTTCTTTCAAGGTAGTAGAAAGGCCACCCCCCTTTTTTTCATCCTAAGCACTGAAAGCATATAATTGAAACAAGATGGGACTTCCCTCAAGATTATTGCATTCAAAATTTGCTCTGTTGAATGTGGCCATGTGATTGCCCACAGGTACAATTTGGATATTGTTTGGGGTAGAAAGAGCGAAGAATGAAACAAACACCTTTGTCCTGTTCCAAATGTCTGTATTATTTTTATTTTTATTCAGCAAGCAAGAAAGCCAACATTTATTTTTTTTACTGCCCCAATACCTCTAAGCCCAATATAACAAAACTGAAGCTACTATCCTGTACTTGGTTACTTGGGAGAAAGTCCCAAGGAATCCAATGGAACTTACTGCTGAATTGGATTTGACTGTGGTGGAGAGTTGCCAATTGGCCAAAAAACCCTCATTACTAAATAATAGTAATAGTAATAGTAATAGTAATAGTAATAATAATATTCACACACCAAGCCTCTCTTCTTTTTGTTCATTTATCAGAAGTCTGGTATGTAGGAATGTTTCTTGAAGCCAAAATTTATATAAGAATATGCAGAAAATAATGTCTTGCTTGCTAGGGTTGTACAGTTGGTTTGGATTCATGTTGGTGGGGGTGCTTCAGAGATTTTCTGGGCTCATCCAAGGCAAATACAGTGGTACCTCGGGTTACATACGCTTCAGGTTACAAACTCCACTAACCCAGAAATATTACCTCAGGTTAAGAACTTTGCTTCAGGATGAGAACAGAAATCGTGCTCCAGTGGCGCAGTGGCAGCAGCGGGAGGCCCCAATAGCTGAAGTGGTACCTCAGGTTAAGAACAGTTTCACGTTAAGAACGGACCTTCGGAACGAATTAAGTACTTAACCCGAGGTACCACTGTAGAGATCAATAGAGGTGTCTGCTAAAAGCAAAAGTAATGCCTCTAAGCTTGCCAGGTTAGGTGAGGTGAGTGGGGAAGATAGACCAAAATGTCAGGATGGGGAGATGGAGGAGGGAGTGTTCTGTTGCAGCTGACAGTCAAGCTTGTAATCAGACAGGAAAAAAAGACCAGGCTTCTTAAATCCTAGTGCTTTGGGGAATGGATTTGAAGAAGAAGGCGGGGGGGGGGGAGAGAAGGAAGAAGAAGAAGACTGCAGTAGCACCTTGGGCCCCTATAACACTATTTAATCAGTGCCCAAGATCCACAAACAAAAGTTACCTATGGGAGAAAAGTAAATTCTTTTTACTCCCCTGCAACTATCAACTGTAAGGTAAGGTAAAAGGTAAAGGACCCCTGGATGGTTAAGTGCAGTCAAAGGTGACTCTTGGGTTGAGGCGCTCATCTCGCTTTCAGGCTGAGGGACCCGGCGTTTGTCCACAGACAGCTTTCCGGGTCATGTGGCCAGCAGGACTAAACTGCTTCTGGCGTGACGGGACACCGTGATGGAAACCAGAGCGCACAAAAACGTTGTTTACCTTCCCACCGCAGCAGTACCTATTTATCTACTTGCACTGGCGTGCTCGAACAGCTGATGAGCCAATCCTATTCCCCTCTGCATGACTCTAATGGAAGCAGGCATCTAGTCAGAGTCAGAGTCCTCTGCTACGAAAAAATACAAAACTTCCCTCGCTCAAAAAAATTAGGATTTGCACTATGAGTTCTTTACTCTCTGTTCTTTCTCTATTTCATACAGATGAGACTAGAGATGGGCAAATCTATCATTTTCAACTTCGCATATTTCCAATCTTAAATTCAGTTCTCCACATTTGCACATCAGTTCATTACAGATATATATATATATATTCTCATGAGAATTCATCTGCATTTTAGTGTGCATTTCTCTGAATATATACATACTTCTATGCAGTTTTGCCTAACATGCTAGCAAAATTTCCCTAAATATAATGTTATTTTCACTAATATATGCACACGTCACCCTAGTATATGCATCTTTGTACACATTACTCAGCTGAAGAAATCTGGAGAAGGGTGAATTTTGAAGGTTGGCTGTGTTTTTACTCTCGTATTGTTTCGGGAAGTACAAATTAGGTATGTTCATCTTTGAACATGAACTGAATCAAATTTCTCCCTCATCCCTAGATGAGATCCAGCATCATGGTCAGTCACGAGAAAGTATTACGTACTGGCTGACTCTTGCTTATGACATGCTTTCCATGATGGTTTTTAAAAAGTCCTACTGTGCAGACATTGTATGACTCAGAGGAAAGCATTGGGCACATTTTAGCCTGGAGAAGAGGAGATGATAAAGAGGTGATAGGATTGCCAACTTCCACTATTTGAAGGACTGTTAAATAGGCGATGGAGCAAATTTGCTTTTTTTTTTTTTGCTGCAGAGCAGAGGTGGTGCTGGTGAACCTCAAGCCTGGAGGGCCAGTGCGATGCCCCATGCTTCTCTATATCCAGCAAGGACTCTCTCACCAAGCCCCTCAATGGCCCACTTTGAGTGCTTTTGCCAGGCTGTTTGTGCCCTTCAATTGTGGTCCTGCCTTTTGTTTGCATGGGTGGAAGATGAACAGATGGGTGGATGTGTAGAAACCTCTGACTTTTGCCTAGGTGGATGTAGCCTGTAGCCTCTTATACAAAGGTGAGTCACATTCACTGCTTCACCTACGATTTACCTCTGGCCCCATTTGCTACTGCCATGCTGTCCTTGAAGGCTGTCCATGCGCCATTTGGGGATGAAAAGGTTCCTCTCTGCTCCAGAGGTAAGGGCCCAAGCCACTGGGCTCAGAATTACAAGAAAAGGTCCTTAGACGAAGCATTAGGAAGGACGCCTGGACAGTGGAATCTGTTGGACAATGGGACATACTGTTTCAAAAGGCAGGTAGTTCATTCAAGGTTTTTAAGTAGAGGCTGGATGGTCCACCTAGGAGGAATGTTGTAGCAGTGGGGTTTTTTTGCACAAGGAATTTGACCAGATAATCTTTGAAGTCCCTTCCAACCCTAGGATTTTGTTGTGGCCTAAGGGACGCGGGTGGTGCTGTGGGTTAAACCACAGAGCATAGGACTTGCCGATCAGAAGGTCGGCAGTTCGAATCCCTGCGACGGGGTGAGCTCCCATTGCTCAGTCCCTGCTCCCTCCAACCTAGCAGTTCGAAAGCACGTCAAAGTGCAAGTAGATAAATAGGTACCGCTCCGGCGGGAAGGTAAACGGCATTTCCGTGTGCTGCTCTGGTTCGCCAGAAGCGGCTTAGTCATGCTGGCCACATGACCCAGAAGTTGTCTGCGGACAAACGCCGGCTCCCTTGGCCTATAGAGCGAGATGAGCGCGCAACCCCAGAGTCGGTCATGACTGGACCTAATGGTCAGGGGTCCCTTTAGCTTTAACTGTACCTGAGGAAGCAACAGGTACAAAAAAGCTATTTTAAAAAAAAGAAACCCCCAAGTTGCTGTGGAAATGTGGGGAACTCAAGCCAAGATTGGAAAAAGGAGAAACTGAAATGGACAAATTCAGTTGTTGCTAGTGCCCACCTTTTGAACGATGCTGTCTGAGATAGCTCCCTGCTTTGTCTGCTCTGTGGGTCAAGAGCTTGCAAAATGCCAATCTGTGCAGAGTTTTGTGTACGTGGTGTGACATTGGCCTTCATAGAACGCGTGCCGGGAATTCATTCCCATCATGGTCAAAAGAAATAGGGTTGCTACTCTTATACCCAGCCTTGATCCTGCGCATCTTAAACAGCAGACTGAGACTTTAAAACAATAGAGGAAAGCTCTTTCTACCACTTTGATCCATGCCAGGAAAAGCTTCACACCTGCTGAATTTTTGCATGCTAAAGGCCCAGAAAGGGGGGGACGGACACAACTCTACTCAGAAGCAGGACTGCCAGTGATTTTACCAGCCACTGCTTCTGTGTCCTTCACATCAGCTAGATCTACAAACATTAGCCGGTGAGAAAGCTCATCGTCTATATATCTGTAGATCAAGCTGCTGTTAGAGACAAGGAGCAAGACAGTTGTTTTCCAGGCATTTGGCAAAGTTAGGTGGAAGCAGGTGGCAAGGAAAGCTCCACAAAGCATCTTTGAACCTTAAGTAAATAGTGTGGCACTTGTGGATTTTTTGCTTCGTGCTAGAAATAAAGGAATGCCAGCATTGCAAATGCTTTTCAACAAATACATGTACAATTTACCCCTTATCCTTTGGCAAATGTGGGGCTAGCTTGTCCTGAAAAATCTTCTACCTCTGCTCCACTTACCTCTCTCCCACATTTTTCAAGCTATTGCACATCTGGTTGCCGTGGCAACCCTTGTCAGATCCGACTAGCCCATAAAGAAGACAAACCCTTGCCAATTTTAACAACGGCGTGGCTGGTTAACTTGCAGTCGGCACCTCCCTGTGGAAGACAGTGGTAATTTTTTTTATTTTTTTGCTTTTAGGCAGAGATGAAAATTGGTCTTTTTTCTTACATACAGGTACGAGCGAGACTATGATTGAACAGAAAGACAACAAGCAGCAGATGTTTCCATCAGGGCCTTGCCCACCCATAATAAAATGTTTGCAGATGGAGATTTGTGGTTGTTTATATTCTTACTTTTATGCCATGCCTTTCTTCCAGCAGGGAAGTCAAATCAGCATGTGGTCCCCAGGCAGTCACCCACCCACCCATTCACTGACCAGACCTATACATGCTGAGCTTTAGGAACATGGTTGTTGCTGGGTATCTTATTAATTTGGTTGGGGAATAAAATGAGACTTCCCTGGATACCTAGTGTCCAGGTTTGGGGCAAGTACTCTTTGATGAGAAACCCCCTGCTTTAAAATCACAAAACATGCAGTAAAGTAAAGTGTGAAATTATGTAGGCTGTTACACCTTTAAAATATCCCCTTCCAAGTCACTTCCGAAGCTCCCACTTCCTTTAGCATTGAAACAGCTGACATGTTTGGTAAGTTTAAAAGGATTTACTTAAAAGCTCTTCAAAGGTCAGGTTCATACGCTTTTTCATACAGCAGCAAGGAAAGACACACAGTGTAGCTTTAGTTTCAAAATTGGTAAATGTTTCTAAATTATTTGCATAGAAAGACAAAGATGGCTGGCTAAAGCCACACTGTTTAAGCTTGGAGTAGTCAGCCCAGACATCCTTCCTGGTCAGCATCACATGATAGAAAAAATGGTGGAAAGCGAGAGAACAAAGAGTTTGGTAACCCTTCCTCCCAATGTGAGGGGGAGTGACCTAGATAAGTCTAACAGGACAACTTACTCTATGGTCTTAACCCCTTCATGCATTAGAGTTCAGCATGTTGCTTATATGTTTCCCTGGCTAGTCAAATATATGGAGTATGGAGAGCTGTGAGTGGAGAAGTGAATCCACGCATTGATATTCAAGTGATATCCAGTTGCCCAGACTGCTTTCATTGCCTAACTGCTTGCTGTCTACTCCACACTAAAGAGGAGCTTTTTCAAAAGTGGTGCACATATAGTAGTTAAGTTCTGCCGATATGGGTCACCTGTTGCCCTCCAGGTGTACCAGTTCCAGGGGGCAAAACCAGAACATGGTTACTGAAACAGAAAGGGCTTACACAGAGAGTGGCCAATGCAGCACTCAAATCATCCCAAACCTGAGACTGATGTGAGTTTGAGTTCAACAGGCTCTGAAGGGCCACAGGTTCACCTGTATGCTATAGCTGCAACTCAGCGACATCTAGGAATGTCTTGAGAGGTACAATGGGACAGAGGAGGAAGGGTGCACTGGCATTCACTTTTGTTCTTTCAATGACAGTGGAGAGACCTTCTTAGCCGCACCCTTTGGTTACAAGATCTGAAGTCAAAATAGGGATTATACCTTAACATACATGTTCTGCTCTAAGGTCCCATAGCGTGTTATTTATTTATTTGAATTTATATACCGCCCTATACGCGGAGGTCTCAGGGCAGTTCACAAAATAAAATCAAAATATAAAACCATAAAATACATAATCAAAATTAAAACAACCCAATAATCACCCCCCAACCACAAAAAACCCACAGCATTTAAAAAGGGCATAGGATGTACACCGGTCTAGAATCTATGCTTTGGATGAAGGTGAAGCTTAGAACTATTCTAAATAAATAAATGAACAGTGTCCAGCATGCAATCGGTGTTTTTGCATTTCAGCACTTGCCAGGTATCCATAGGAGAGAAGTGAGCAGAGAAGTGAGCCGGCTGGCACAGAAGTAACGCAAATTTCTATCCCACCTCAGTGCTCAGTACAGAAACCAAACAGGGTGCTAGACAACGGGATTTTGAATCCAGCAGAGAAAAGGCAATGAGCTGCTGGAGAAAGGATGGAGCTCTCCATCCAACTGATTCATGATACATTTTGTAGGCTGGAAACTTCTGTACGCTTGCTGGCAAGGTGACTTATTTTTTCACAGTTCAAAATAAGCCACTTCACCTACAGGTTCTGAAGAAGCAGAACAGGGCCTTACCAGTCATGCAGATACAGTTCCGTCCATGTGCACTCAATTTCTCAAAAAACGAACAAAGCCATCTTTGATGGTTTTCGTTTTTCATTACTATAGACTCTCTGGAGGAACTGTAGAAACCTCCCCAAGCAAAGCCTTTGAGGATTCATTTTCAGCCTAGGTATCCTTGCTTGCTTTCATATGCTTTCTGAGCTGTGTCATTGTATCTCATGGGCATTGGTAATTTTTAAATTAGGTGTACATTGTTGCAAGTCACCTTTGCAAGAAGAGTTCCCTCCAGGAAAAGGAACTTCCATACCTATGTGATGGCCTGGATCCAGACTTACCAGGAGCAGGATTTGGCTCATGGAATGCTCCAGCTGCTAGAGGAAGGAAGGAAAATGAGTTGTTTTGTTTTGTTTTTAAAAAGCCAATTCTTCCTTCCTCTGTAGCTGTCTTAGAAGTGGCTCTGGAAGGTTGGGAGGAAATCCTCCCCCATCCCTGGTTTCGTTCAATAGGAGTCCCTGCCAGATCAGAAGCCCTTCTGTTAACTGAAGGAGTCCTTCTGTTCATGGAAGGACACATCTGGATCCCACCAGAGATCCTACTCTATCTGTACAGGCATAGGTTTAATGCAGAGAAGTACCAGACAAAGCAACAACAAACCAACCTATGGTCACGTAAAGCATACTCAATAAACACATGAGACGTAACCGGCTGTGTTCTTAGATGAATAAGATATACTATTCATAGTATCAGATTGTAAATTTCAAAAGAAGTAACTCATAAAGTTCAACAAACGAAGAAAGCACAAGACTCAGTGGATCAGATCATTCTATAGTCAGTTCATGAATAAGGTCCATCTGTGTAATGGTGTCCATTCCACCTGTCTGTTCATAAAGTCCAAACCTTGCCTTAGACTTTGTGAAAGGATTTTGTGGAACTGTAACAACCTTTCATGTAGATGGTTTGAACTTCTTTCCCTAATATGCCAGAAATATTAGTCAAAGGCAGCTATGGGTGGATTTATCCATTTTGGTTCTCTAAGTTTCTCATTTTTCCAATCTTAAATTTAGTTCTCCACATTCCCAAAGAAACTTGTGAACTTATTGTTGTTTTTTTAATCCTCACGAAATCCTTGTAATGTGAATTTTTTTATGGTAATTACGGTTATATAATAGATAGATAAGGGTAAAAGATGCAGTAAATTTAATCTTAAAGATAGAACCCTTGGAGGGAGGGAAAGAGGTCTAAGAGTTCGAAAGAACTCTGTATTTTAATGTTTGAAATGGTTTTGTTTTATATGTACAATTTTTCCCAAACACTTAATAAAAAAATTATTAAAAAAGAAAATTCATCAGCATTTCAGCGCAAATTTCACTTAATAAACACATTTTCATGTGTGATCTTCACTAATATGCACATCTTTGCACTCAGTTTTCCCATATCTAATGCATGTTTATGTGTTGTTTTCACTAACATATATGGCTCTTATGCACATTCCCCCCTTCATACATGCACTTTTGTACATATTGGACTGTACTGGGGAGAAAGCTGTTTTCATCTGGATAATTGGAGCTGGGGGTGGTGGCTCCCTCCCTTTGCCACTTCTCTGTTAACAAACATCATTAACATTTTCCAAAGATCCTTTTCTTTTCAGAAAGAAAGAAAGAAAGAAAGTTCGGATTTCACTACTTGCATTTATGTGTAATGTGTAGTTTGCCCCTCACTATTACTGTACACTTTCCACTCGCATTCATTATTAAAATTCAAGAGTCCCCCACCCACAATTCTTTTCCTTTTGATCCCCACTCACTCCCCAAAGTACCCTTTCCCCATAGCCTATAATATGCCAACACACTCTGCTGTGATTGCAAAGGAATATTATATTACAAACACTGGGCTTGGGTGAAAGCGAGAATGGAGGTGACATTTATAAATACTTTATTAAGAATTAAATGATTAATTGAGATTGCTCTTTTCTTAATAGACTGGGGCTACAATGCACGATCATTATGGGAATGCCATGTGTGCTTTATTCACCAGCTACAACTCAGACGCTCAGCTCTGCACCTAGACTTATATCAATGAATAAAAGTTAAAGAGGGGATTAGTGGTAATCTCCAGTTTTGAGAGCAGAGCCCCATTTAGGAGGAAGTTTCCACCCATGGTTCTATTCCCACATTTTGCTTTCCCCATGGCTGTAGTCCTATAGCAGGGACAGGGAACCTATGAACCTCCAGATGTTGTTGGACTCCAACATCAGCCAAGCCAACATGGCCAATGATGAGGGTTGATGGGAGTTGGATTTTCACAAGGCCTGGAGATTCCCCATCCCCTTTCTAAAGTAACTTCATGTGTGATGATTGAAACAATTTTTTCAACTCGGTTTCAGTTGGAATATAAAACTTGAATTGGGCAGCAGCTAATTTGCGTGGCGAGTTCCCACCTCCCCCCAAAGAAATAACAATAGGACTGTACCCCACCAATGCCGTGTCAGCTGTAGGGAAGGAAAGAGGAGGGGCCTCGGCTGCAGCTGGGTTAAAGGCTCGGGGTATGAGGAGAACGGGGATTCCCTTGTTATCGCGGGGGCTGGAGCCAGCCCCCGCACGTGTGGGGGAGGGGCGTGAAGCCCCCAACCCCATCTCCTTGCCAGCACGGAAGTGGCTTTGTGTAACAAATGTTCTTCCTTTTTAGTTCTTTCCCATGGGAAAAAAGTGATGTTATTAACAAATATCAGGGATATTGGTACAAACGTTAACAAATATCAGGGGTGTGGTACACTCCAGATATTGTTAGACTATTCCCAATGTAGGAAGAGTGGCTTTTGAAAGCAATGGACTATGCAGAAATGGTGAAGCTGAGAGTGAAATTAAGAGATCGAAATGATGAACTTTTTAAAGAAGAATGGAGGACTTTCGTGGAATATTTGTTCAAAATACTATAGTCAAATGAAACCAGGGGCAGGATTCAATATAAAAGCAGTGGAAGAAAAATGCTAAAATAACTGTAGAAAAAGATATAATGCAGTAGAAAAGCTTTGAGTAAAAACAATGTGGAAGTTGGGGTGGGAAGTCAATTTATGAAACTGTGTAATTATTTGATGTGTAGATTATTGTAAAAATGTTTGAAAAAAATAGTAAAAAATAATACTAAATATATTGTTGGACTACCACTCCCATCAGTCCTCCTGACCATTGGCTATGTGTTTTGGGATGATGGAAGCCTGCAGCACTGGAGAGCGCCATGTTGGCTACCCCAACATATATAATCTAAAACAATTGGAAGACACAAGAACTTCCCACGCTGGAGGAATGGCAGATGAAACTGATGGACTATATGGAACTGGCGGAAATGACTGGCAGAATCCGTGACCAGGGAGAAGAGTCGGTGGAGGAAGATTGGAAGAAATTCAAAGATTATCTACAGAAACACTGCAAAATTAAAGAATGTTAGAGTGATGTTGGATTGAAAATAAGTGGTTTCCAGCTGTACAGGATTTAAAGTTATAGATAGACTAAGATTAAAGATTAGGATTAAAGAAGTTTAAGGAAATGGAAATTTGATACTTAAGAGGTAAAATTTTAATGCTATATTACATTAAGATTAAAGATTGGGATTAAAAAAGTGGAAAAGAAATTGCTGGACAAACAATTTGGACTGGAATACAAAAGAGGGAGGTATGAGGAGGTCCAGAAAATAAGTAAATTTAAAAACGGAAATGAAAAGGTGATATTGTTTTTAATTGTTCTGTTTCTTTTTTTTTTGTTTTCTGTTCTCTGTGGTTTTTTTTTTTCTTTTTTGGATTATGTACTGTGTATTTGTGTATTTCTTTTTTATGTTTTTCTGTTTAACTTTTTACTGAAACCTTAATAAAAATCTTAAAAAAACAACAACATATATAATCTGAAACAGGCTCAAATGCTCTTCAAGCCTCACATGCAAAAACCCATGCAGCTGCATTTTATGGCTGTTTCCCCAGAGGTAAGACCTGCTCTGTTCAATGGAGTCTCCACTAGCACCACCAAGGAACTGTAAACAGGAGTTTTAGCTTTAGTACATGGGAATGCAAATGTGTGTTAGGGAAATAGGGTTATAGCATGAAGGACCGTGTCTTTTTTTTTTTAAAAGAATATTTATTCCAATTTTAAAGTTACAAAAAAATATAGAAAAGAAAAAACACAAACCACATACATCTTACAAAAAACAGACAATAAAAAAGAAATAAAAAAGACAAAAAATCACAGTAGAGAATAACAAAAATCAAATTAGACCATTACAACCATTTTCCCATTTACTTGTTTCCATGACTTCCTCTCACCTCCCTGCTTTGTATTCTAGTTTAAATCGTATCACCAGCAAATCCTTCTAACCTTCTTTTCTTTTACTTATTTTAACATTCGAAAGTACTTAATTCTCCTCTATCCTCATTTTACACTTCATGTTTACTTATTCCATTATACCCTATCTGCCAATACGGTCTAATATTCTTCTCCAACCTTTTTCTAACATTCTTTTATATTGCAGTGTTTCTGAAGATATGTTTTAAATTTTTTCCAGTCTTCTTCCATCAACCCTTCTTCCTGATCTCGAATTCTGCCGGTCATCTCAGCCAGTTCCATATAGTCCATCACTTTCCTCTGCCATTCTTCTCGGGTAGGCAATTCTTGTGTCTTCCAGTATTTCCCAATGAGTATTCTTGCCGCTGCTGTCGCATACATAAAAAATTCCTGTCTTCCCTTCTCACCAATTGGCCGACCATGCCCAAGAGGAAAGCCTCTGGTTTCTTCACAAAAGTGTATTTCAATACCTTTTTTAATTCATTATATATCATTTCCCAGAAGGCCTTGATCTTTGGGCACGTCCACCAAAGGTGGAAAAAGGTTCCTTCATTTTCATGAAGGACCGTGTCTTGGGCATGGAGTGGCATCCTTGGAAAGTATTGTGTCTGTGGCAACATCAAGGTTAACTACTGCAGCACTGTACCTGTTGGAGCTCATTCACACATGAAAGCCATCACTTCTTACTGCAGGCGTCGTGTAGTACAAATGCATGTATGAACCAGGACATCAAGGGGGTTGTCAGCATTGGGAGCCAGCGTGGTGTAGTGGTTAAGAGCGGTGGACTCATAATCTGGTGAACCGGGTTCGTGTCTCCGCTCCTCCACATGCAGCTGCTGGGTGACCTTGGGCCAGTCACACTTCTCTGAAGTCTCTCAGCCTCAATCACCTCACAGAGTGTTTGTTGTGGGGAAGGAAGGGAAAGGAGATTGTTAGCTGCTTTGAGACTCCTTAAGGGGAGTGAAAGGCGGGATATCATATCCAAACTCCTTCTCTTCTTCTCCTCCTCTTCCTCCTCCTCCTCCTCTTCTTCTTCTTCTTCATCCTTCAGAACTGGTACAGAGCATGTGTATTTTGAGCTTTGATGTCTATAATGGTCCTGAGTACAAAACACAACCTAAGCAACAGGAAAGAGAGAGGTGGATCGGTGCATTCCAGTTTGTCAGTCTTAAGTAACTGCTTGTCGGACTGTGGACTGCGGATGTATGACATCTGAGATGTATTGTTTGGGATTGTAAATTGCTTTGATGAAATTCTACATCATTGTTTGTATTGCTGTAAGCTGCCCTGGGACCTTATGGTAAAGGAGCTTCAAATAATAGCAACTGATTCCACCGGTAGATTATCATGGGAGGCAGATTTGAGGTGGACAACACAATGAGAAAATAAATAACAAAGGAACACAACATGTCAGGAATCACAAGGATTGTGTAATCTATCTAACTTCGTGGGGTGGGAGGATTCTTCAGATGCTATCTCCAAGGCCCAAGAAGCATATGGGTGCCCAAACTTTAGATCTGGGGTCAGCAAACTTACCACGCCTCGGGCTGGTGTCTCCAGTGCCAATTGTGCGACAGGCTGGAGGGCGGGGGAGCGCGTGCCCATATGTGTGCGCACATACTATTTCCACCGCACTTCTGGGTTGGAGGAGCGCCAGAAATAGCTTGTGTGCATGTGCACGGGCCTCCTCTGACCCGGATGTGCACCGGCAGTAACGCTTGTGCATGCGCAAATAACGCTTGCGCATGTGCACAAGCTACTTCGGGTGCTCCTCTGACCCGGAAGTGGGCAGCCATGCAGTGCAGCGCTGGTAAGAGAGGGTGGCGGCAGCAGTCGGTGGGGGGCGGGGGGCGCCGCGGGCCGGATAAACGAGTCCCTCGGGCCTTATCCGGCCTGCGGGCCTTAGTTTGGGGACCCCTGCTTTAGATCTTTCTTCCCCAAGCTAACAGTGATTCTCCACTAAATATTCCAGGATAGGGCCTTTCTGTTCCCATCCAGCAGGGGGTAGTACTGGCTCATCTCCCACATGGTAGGTCCCCCTTCACCCCTATAGAGCATCATACACCATGCCTTGTCGGTGGGGTGGAGACGACAGTTAGAACGCTTAAAATCCCTGGAAAAGATCTTTCCACTGTATCCAATTTTTACCATCCCTGTTGGGATAATAGAAGCTTAAAAAAAAGAATCAGTTTATTATGCAGTAATTTTCAGCCATTGGCTTTAAGGCCTTGCCCTCCTGGTGTCTGCTAGGTGGCAGGTCAGGAGTGGAGGGACCATTAATATCATCCGCATTTATTGAGACACTTGTCCTGAACTGTCAGGATTTTCAATGAAGGGTCAAAGACTTTACCTGCTGGGCATGATGCCCAGGGGGAGAATTCTTCACTGCCGTTCCAAGCTGATTTCTGGCCTCATAGCAGCTCTTCAGCAGACAGCGGGAGAGTGAATAGTTGGTGGTGGGGGGGAGGAAGAGAGATTAATTAGCAATTAATGGACTCCAAGGCAGAACTTTCAGTGCATTCATTTGCATAAAGAGAAGGGTAATGAACAGCTCTTACGCGCATTAAATAGAACTGGGCCTTTCATTTTATTTGGATGAGAAGAATGTGGCGGCAGAAAAGGGAGGAGTGAAAAAGTGGCTTGTAACTGAAATGTAAGTAAACCTCAATGCTCAGAGGCAAAATGCCATCAAAACACTGATGGTCCACAGCTCTACTCCTCCATAACATCTGAGCCAGGAGAGGCTGTGCATGATGTGGACGTTTGTCTGGGCACAGTGGAAGACTGGATGAGGGTCAATAAACACTGGTAAGATGTGGGTTGGTGAACCCCATGTCTGGGAGGCTGGCCAATTGCCAAGGTTCAGAGGTTGTTGACCAGTATAAAGCAAGCAGCACATAAGCGGCACACAAAACACAAAAAAACCATTCGACGTTTTAAATCTTATATTAATAATCCAAAAATTGAGAGAGCTATGTACAAGATCTACTACAGAAGCCACAAACAGAAAACTCATTCAAATTGTGTCCAAAAGGAAGATTCAGTCTTTAAAGGTTCCTTTAGCTTGGCTCCTGTAGATTTCAACAAAGGTAAGTTGGATCAAACGGCACAAGAGTTAGACAGGGTGCCGGCATTTGCCACCTGTTTCGCCCGTGAAGAGTCTCAGGTTTCTTCAGTAAATTCTCTCTCACGGTTTTGATATACAGTGGTACCTTGGGTTAAGTACTTAATTCGTTCTGGAGGTCCATTCTTAACCTGAAACTGTTCTTAACCTGAAGCACCACTTTAGCTAATGGGGCCTCCTGCTGCTGCCATGCTGCCAGAGCATGATTTCTGTTCTCATCCTGAAGCAAAGTTCTTAACCTGAAGCACTATTTCTGGGTTAGCAGAGTCTGTAACCTGAAGCGTATGTAACTTGAAGCGTATGTGACCCGAGGTACCACTGTATTTATAAACATTCAAGTCCATATGTTACATTTCTTCTTAGATTCAGCTATAATATTTACCGTATATTTTGCTCTATAAGACTCACTTTTTCCCTCCTAAAAAGTAAGGGGAAATGTGTGTGCGTCTTATGGAGCGAATGCAGGCTGTGCAGCTATCCCAGAAGCCAGAACAGCAAGAGGGATTGCTGCTTTCGCTGCACAGTGGTCCCTCTTGCTGTTCTGGCTTCTGAGATTCAGAATATTTTCTTTCTTGCTTTCCTCCTCCAAAAACTAGGTGCATCTTGTGGTCTGGTGCGTCTTATATAGCGAAAAATACGGTAATTTCTTTCTTCAGGAAATTCTCCCTCAAGATTTTGGTGTATTTACATACATTCAACCTCATATGCTAAGTTCTTTCTTGACTTAAGCATTTATTCATTTACTAAGGTTCAGAGGTTGGGCATGCTCCTGGATCCATCTTTGTTGCTGGAAGCCCAAGTAACCTCAGTGGTTAGGAATGACATTTACCAGCATAAGGTGCAGAAAGACACATATCACATGGTATCTCTACACAGACATTGACCCAGTTACATCTCACATTGTATTTCTCCAGTCTCTGGCTGCAGGAGTGACTCCAGATGTTGTTGGACTGGACCATGCTAGTTGGGACTGATGGGGGCTGGAGTTGAACAGCATCTGCGGAGCCACAGGTCCCCAGTTGTGCCCAAAGTGAAATGTTGAGAAGAACCTTTACATTCCCTTGCAGAAAAACATCCGGAATAATTTCAAGCGAAGTGAAAATAATTTTTGAATAGAGGGGAAAAAAGTCTTTTGTGTTTGCGGGGTGGATATTTCTATTGAATTTTCTCTTAAATGAAACGTGAAGTAAAGCTGGTAATTCCTGGTTTCTCATGCAGGTGAAACATCCAAGGAATGTCAAAGGACATTAAAAAGAATTTCAACGAGATGAACAAAGTTTCTCAGCATGACTTGCTTTTGCACATTCTACTTCCAGCCAGTGGTGACTCTAGATCAGCCTACAGATACATATTTTTGGGTATTGACAAAGGGACCAACAAATACATCCATTTCCTAAATAACCACTTGAGGGACAGGTGCTTCCTAATAGATACTGTCTTGAACTGGTTGGACACAGAGGAATGGTGGGAGGAACCAGCTGGGGAACCCCAAGGGAAGGAGGCTCAGAGTCTGGGGAAGAAGAAGAAGAGTTTGGATTTGATACCCCGCTTTATCACTACCCTAAGGAGTTCCCTTCTTTCCCCACAACAAACACTCTGTGAGGTGAGTGGGGCTGAGAGACTTCAGAGAAGTGTGACTAGCCCAAGATCACCTGGCAGCTGCATGTGGAGGAGCGGAGACGCGAACCCGGTTCACCAGATTACGAGTCTACCGCTCTTAACCACTCAGTGAGTGGTCAGAGGGAGAAGAGGGAGGAGGAAGGGTTGGAAGCTGAAGAGGTAACAGGCTTAGTGAGCTGGGAGAGTCTGTGGCAGAAAGAAGTCCAGAATCAGAGGCAGATGGGATGAGGAAGCTGGGATGAGGGAGGCCAAGAGGCAGAGAGGAGTCAGGCTGCTGAAGAGTCATGGGTGTCTCTCCCTCCTGCTGCGACAAGCTCCCCTCCTTGCTTGTCTTCCAGAACCAGAAGAGGGGTGAAAAGGGAGGAGGAGAGGATGGCTGCTTGCAGGTCTAGTCTCTGATTGTTTGAGGGGAAGCCCTGGAGATGAGGCGGTGACTTTTGGCAACTGATTTTCATGGACGGAATGAGCTGCTCTGCTCATTAGGCCCAACACTTGACCAAGTCTGTGCAGATCGTGTTTCTGCCAATAAATAGATAACTCCATCTTT